ACTAATTCTAATGCACTTGGAACAAAGCTATTGTGACAATACTAACGTTATTTTTTATTTTAATTAGCCATTTTCATATTATTGATTATATTGCTTTTCTATGCTTTTGCGCTAATAAAATAATAAATCTATGTTTAAGAAACAATATGGGAATGGAATGGGAATGACATTGTTTTTGTATGACTGTGACATGTTATTTTAAAATTTATTAATTTAAATATAAAAAAAATTCTAAATAGTATTGTAGTAGTTGTAAACGTTTTAAAATAATTATTTTTGATGTTGTATAAAATGTTCATTTCATAATGAACATTTTATAAATCTGATAGATTTGAACTACCTATTCATTAAATCATTTTTCAAGTTTTTAATAAAAATGTATTTGTAATTTTTTTTAGTATGCAAATCTCAGTATCAATGATTTCTGACAGCCTAATTTAAGTGAATTATATTACGGTCACTTTACATATTCAACAGTGTAATCAATTACAAAATTACATCACAAAATACAGGGTGTTTCATAATTGGATGTCAATATTGAAGGGTGTTAATCTGTGCGTGATTTTAAGACAAAAAGTTCATATAAACATAGGTCCGTTTTCGCTTTATTTTTGATATACAGGGTGATGAATATCTGTTTGTAAAATTGTTTTTTTTTAAAAACTCCGAAACTAAATTAGATAGTTTTATAAAACTTAGTATGTGTAAACTAGGTGCAGAGACACGTCTTTTGCATAATAAACGAATTTTCATTTTTAACCAGTGGCGTCCCAATTAACTTCAACCTCATTATTTTGAATGAAAAAAATGATACGCCACTGCATTTTTGAAAAACAAAAATTATTGTATAAATGGTGCTTTATTTTGTAATAAAAAAGATCTCTTGAGTTTTTTTCTTATCTTGCACTGTTTTTTAGTAAAAAAATAAAGAACAACATACTAACCCACATTGAGCCAAACAGAAAGCATGATATAAAGATTACCTAGTAGGCTGTGGTTGTTGATTACTGTTGTGATTTATTAATTTTGACAGTTCAGTTCATTCAACTCAATTTTGATACTTAAAATACCTGTACAGTGTTATTTGATAATGGTTGAGTTTACTAATCAAGAGTTGGCAGACATTCATTACATGTATGGCTTGGCTGATGGCAGAGCGCCAGAGGCTAAACGATTATATCAAGAGCGTTTCCCGAATAGAGTCACACCAGATAGACGAACATTCTCAAACATACATAGAACGTTGGCTGAAACAGGTACTTTTAAGCCAAATAATCAATTAAAAGGTGCCCATCGGACTACTAGAACTCCAGAAGTTGAAGAAGCAGTTTTAAATTCAATTGATGAAAATCCTAATATTAGCACTAGACAAATTGGAAATAACTTGAATATCTCGCACATTCTAGTTTGGAGAATTCTTCACGATTTTCTGTTATACCCGTATCATATTCAACGGGTCCAAGCCTTACTTCCTCGAGATTTTCCTTTGCGAATCAACTTTTGTCAATGGTTTTTGGAGAAAATTGCGCAAAATCCCTTGTTTGACTGTGAAATAATGTTTACAGACGAAGCTAACTTCTCTAGAAACGCTATAAGAAATTTCCATAACAATCATGTTTGGGCCGAAGAAAACCCGCATGCAATTGTGAACTTTAACAATCAAGAACAATTTTCCGTGAATGTTTGGGTTGGAATTGTTGAAAATCACTTAATTGGACCTTTTTTTCTGCCACAAAGGCTAGACGGCCGTACATATCGTCGGTTTCTAGAGGAGGATTTGCCCGTATTACTTGAAGAAGTGCCACTTTTAACTAGAAATAGAATGTGGTTCATGCATGATGGTGCACCAGCTCATTTCCATCGAGAAGCAAGAGAATATTTAAATCGCACATTTCATGACCGATGGGTAGGCCGTGGTGGACCCCAACAATGGCCCCCCAGGTCCCCAGATTTGAATAGTGCGGACTTCTTCTTATGGGGGCATCTGAAAACTCTGGTTTACAACACTCCGGTTAACACTGTAGAAGACCTGAGGAATCGCATAAGAGCTTCCTGTGATGTAATAAGGAACACTGACAACATTTTTCAAAGAGTCCGCACTAATATGAGAAGAAGAGCTGAAGCATGTATCCTTGCAGGTGGAGGGCATTTTCAACAACTGATGTAATTGTTTGTTTTTTTCGTTTCACAAAATTGTTATTTGTTGATCGTCAATCGTAATTATTAATAATATTATACAATAATGTGTATAAGTTATCTAGTAAAAGAATTATTTCCATAAAATGTGTAAAAAGTACTTCATTCCACGTACAGATAATTATTGTTGTTCTTTATTTTTTTACTAAAAAACAGTGCAAGATAAGAAAAAAACTCAAGAGATCTTTTTTATTACAAAATAAAGCACCATTTATACAATAATTTTTGTTTTTCAAAAATGCAGTGGCGTATCATTTTTTTCATTCAAAATAATGAGGTTGAAGTTAATTGGGACGCCACTGGTTAAAAATGAAAATTCGTTTATTATGCAAAAGACGTGTCTCTGCACCTAGTTTACACATACTAAGTTTTATAAAACTATCTAATTTAGTTTCGGAGTTATTAAAAAAAAAAAATTTTACAAACAGATATTCATCACCCTGTATATCAAAAATAAAGCGAAAACGGACCTATGTTTATATGAACTTTTTGTCTTAAAATCACGCACAGATTAACACCCTTCAATATTAACATCCAATTATGAAACACCCTGTATAATTTTTTAATTATACATTCATTACCAAAAAATAAGCAGAGTTTGCTCTATAAACTTAGATATTGCAGACAAAAGACTCAATTTTTGCTGATGGATTTTAAACAAATATGAGTAGGTGGACTAAATTCGCGCATCATGGTCGCCTAAACGGCTGCTACTATTAAAAAACACCAAGAAACACTTTTCACTCATTTAACGTAACAGTACTTGAATTTAACATTATTTGTACAAAAAACTGCCAGTGGCATATTTTTTTCTTGAGAAAACAGAGTGTCACCTTCAGTAGCACGCCATTGGATAATGCCACGAGGTTAATATTACATTCAATAAAAGGTTTAATTACGTAAAAATATATATATTTTTGGGAACTTGGAACACCCTGTATCTCGAATACCACTTCCCCCAGGAAAAAACTTTATAACTCTACTTATTTTTTGGCAACTAATTTATTCCTGCAGTTCTGTATTTCTAGTGAAATCTTGCCAAGCATTTTAAGAGTAACAAATACACCTGGCTGTACAGTCACAGATGACAATTCTTGGCATAAAGTATATTTAAAATGAAATAAATTCTTATTAACGGAATATGTGAATTAAGATTAATTTGGTTGACAAAAAACTATTGAAATTATTTTATTATCATTTTTATTTGTTAAAAACTTATTATTTTCATTAAACTGTGTAAACCAAAGGAAGATTTTTTTTCCATAATAAAAGCCTTTCAGTTTATATAAACAAAACTACATCAGTTGTAAAAAGAATGATGGGATTCATTTACATCTATCACTTGATTACGCAGTCTCAGTCAGCCACCTCAATTTTTATATTCTGTTTGAAATTTTTCCATGATGACAGTTTCTTATGTGGGTCTAAAATTGTTTATATTTCTTTCTTTTTATATAAATTCAACATTTTCAAGTACTTTTAAGAAATACAAAATGTTAATGTGGAAAAAAAAATAAATTTATATATATTAATGGAAATTGATATAAAAGTCTGAGTTATGCCAGGTTGTCAAATTTTCCATAAAAAAACCCTAATATATTTTCATGAAATATCCTCCCATAAAAAAAATCATAGGCCATGTAGAAGCACCATCATTATGGCATTGGTCATATAAATACAATACAATGCACTAAAAAAAGACAGGGCTGTTCCCGATCAAATCTGAATTATTTTAAAGGATTTTTTTTTGTTTTCGATATAATTGAACTGTATTAACATTCCTAAATATCGTAAAATTACATTTATAAAGCTTTCCAAATTTATAAACTGTAACTAAAATCATTTAACTGTTTCCTTATTTAATACAGTGCGCATTAAAAAGATCAATTAGAATTTTTTTTAATATGATTTTATCTGATCAGTGCTGGAAAGATTATAAAAAAAACAAATAAGTAAGAATTACAGAAACAAACCGGAACATTTGAACATAATTCAAATCTAGATTTTAGGATTTCAATAATATTCATATTTAATAGACATAATAAGGAAAGCCGCTAAACATTGACGCAATTGAGACATCATAAAACAGGTTACATGAAACATAAATTACCATTTTATAAATATATATAATTTCATCAAAGTTGAATATAACAAACTATTATTATTGTTCATATACATCATCAAAATTAAAAACCTGTTGAAACGGGATCGTACTTGGACGTACCATCCTAAGTACCTTCAAAAGAGAAACATAACGTACCTTATTCTTCTTGTCCAAGCAAGGTTTATAATATTAAATGTGAAATATAAACGGCAACGTAATGAATTTGTTCAAGGTAACTGAAAATTCCTCGTTTTGAATTTACCGAGAGAGAGGGGGTAGTAGGGGGAGAGGGTGAGAGATGGGGGGGAGTAGAAAGAGAGGGGGGAGTAGAGAGAGAGAGAAACAGGAAGAAGAAGAGAATCCTTCAAAAAGGGTCCCTCGGATAAAGCCAGTGTGCATTTCAATGTTTAAATTTATGTCACTGATAATTGTACAACTGACTTTATTACTCATACACATAATATGTATATTTCATTATGTATGTGTGTATATTTATTTCAGTGTGTTAGGTATGTAGATGTATACATATATGTATACATATATGTATATACATACATGTCATGAAAAAAATCTTCAATTTCTTATGAACCACTTGTCAATTCAAGTCAAGATATTAGTAGTTAATTATAAATTTAAGACAATAACATTCTTTCCATTGAATTATGATCTTATCTTTATGTAGTAAATAATCAAAACGTACCATCTTCAAGAGTTTGCACGGTGATAGGCAACGAACTAGGCCCATCTCCTACAGAAGTACCAGCCAAGACTCGAATTCTATAGGAAGTCCATCTTTTTAGTTCGTCAAGCGTGATACTAGTACCATTAAATCTGATTTCAGTTGCTTCACTATCAGATCTATCGGCTTCCACAAATTGTATTTTATAGTAGACAATATTTCCATTACTACGATTGACAGGTGGAGGATTCCAAGACACTCGAATGGCAGTAGGACTTACCGCCTCGCCAACAACATTGCTGGGTGGGGCACCCGGTACTACGGTGGCGTTAGCATTAACAAAAGCCAAGCTTATAGACTAACTTACTTAGTGGATATTAAAATAAAATTTTTACTACCACGATAATGACGACAAAAAAATATACACAAATAAAAGGTGCTTTGATTGCACATAATAAATTTCACATAGCAGTATACCTAGTGCAGTGCTAAATAACAAATTAATATCCACTGACAACTAATTTCAACATGCAAAATGCATTATTATACAAAAACTTTCATTTGCCACATATTCACACACGCATACACACTCAGACACGCACATTAACACACGTATACACACATTAAAATTATTTTGAAAACTTACACATTGATAAGTATTCGTTTTCATATGTAGGTAATATAAAATTTATTAATTTTAATAATAAGGATTCTATTAATAAATTGTAAAAAATTCTGAATATATATTAGATATATACACTGTGTCCTTGAATAGGATAATGATTTTTGTAATAAAAAAAAAATTAAGTCTAAATATAATTCTTTAGATGCAGCAATAATAAGAATTTGCAAATTTATATTGTCACTGGTTGAAAGAGAAATAAAAATAAAATATTTAAACACACAGTACCAAGAAAATATTGGATAATAAGGAAGCATAAATAATACTAGATTTCTAACAATGTCCTACTGAATCTTTGAAGATAATATTCCAACTTGAAAATTTCTTTTTATTACACGTATCATTATACCTATTTGGGACATAATATATTACATTTAATATCGACAGTATGTGTTAGGTTTTCAATGTGATAATTAATAATACATCTTACCATACTGCTTCGTTTTCACTGGAATAGGTGGAGTAGTAGCACCCTCACCTCTTTGGGACCTAGCAGCTAACCAAACATAATAAATAGTATCTGGATAAAGTCCTGTTAGAGTGTATGACTCTGATATGGGTATACGTCTATGGTGTTTTTCTTTAGCATAGGTATCATTCCAATATAGTTCATAACTCACTATGCTTTCTCCCGAGTGTGTTGGCTTACTCCATTGTAATGTCACTGAAGTTTCTCCAATATCTGAGGCACGCAAATTACTTGGCTGACTTGGTACACCTAAAAGTTGTAGAGGTATGCTATAGACAGATTTTTATATTTAAAGGAAATATCAGAAATATTTATTTATATATTTAGTTACTTAACACTCACATAATTTTCTAGTTAATTGAAGAAAAAAAAAATGTTTTTTTTAATTTAGTTTTTTTCGAACACTCAATACAGAGCCTTCATAAATGATTACAAGCCATGTGTCCAATAATTTTGTTTAGAACAGTAATTTTATTTCCTTCATGTTGGATTTTTCGGTAAAATTAGAAATTATTAAAATACTAAGATCAAGGTTACATTAAAACACAACATTCTGTTTCACCGGCTGTGATTGATGTAATTTTTCACGAAATCCTATTCAACCAATCATGAATCGCATTATCTCGTGTGGACGTAACGGTTTGTCATTGTTCACTGGAAATGAATCATTAATATTGGCGACGCCAAGATTTAGGGAATTTTCATTCTTAGACCAATCGTGTAATGTTGGGGGTTGCCTAAGTTCGGCGGTTACGTGGCTTGTAAACATTTATGAAGGCTCTGTATAAAAATGACACAAAATTTATTATTTGCAACAAAAAATTTAGTGTTTTTTGTTTTTGGGTATAATGTAAATTCAACATTTAAATAATTTGCAAATAATGACCTTGTGCTACAGGGATTAGTTAGGGGTTGTTTTTTAACAAATTTATTTTTGTTTATTACATTACACTACAATCTTTGAATTGTATTCTGAAATACGATCTAAGAGTCTATCAAGACAACTGATTAAAAAATTTCCTGGCATTATTGAATCGATTCACTTTGATTTATTTTAAACAGCCTTGAAGTGCAATGTAGAAGAAAATTTGCCATTGCAACTATTATTAGGGTGTAAAAGTATATATTATACTCTATTACTATATTTATACAAAGATAAAAAATTCTAAAGTAGTGTCAGGCAGTCCTTTTTTTACTAGGTGCACCATACTTTTTGCCCTTGTAAACGATGTAATGATATGCGACACTTTGCCACCACCTTTTCTGGGGTCGCAAATGAACCAGCGGTCTCAGTTGAGAGCTGCGTATTCTTCGGCCAGACTACAGTGAAGAAGGCTGAGTTCCAAAATTATTTGATGTCTAATATGGGCGCCAAGATAATTTATAAAGCGGAAAATACCCCAAATAACAATAGTATTCCCCCCCCCCAAATTACTAAACAGGGTAATACAAATGAAACCACTAATATTTGATTTATATTATATTACTAATATTACAGTATATCTGATGGAAGGTGATATCAGTGGCGGTGCGTGAACGAACATTGATTGAATGTGTTCTGCTTAGGGTTGTTGCATTTGTTGAATTGAATTCCGGGATATAAAGTGTCCGGAGTTTTTAATGGCGCCGCAGGCGAAACATTTTAAAAATTTTCAAGGTCACGCGTTTTCCTGGCACTTCTGAATTTCAAGGAATTCATTTATACAAAAATACAGATTTTCACAAGAACGATTTTTGAAATTCATACCTTTTTGAAATATCTATTCACGAATTACCTACTGACGGTATAAATATATTGGAATAAACTAAATATATTTTATTAAATTATTGAATATTGTTTATACACAAAAAAATCCTTTGTGAAATTTACCGATTCAACGAATTTTAATTTTCCTCGCCATGTTATGATTTTTTCTTTATCTTTATACATATATTAATCTTCCAACTAACTGTGTTAACACTTAAATAGGTATTGATAACTCTATAGTTTTTGCAATGTTGTTAGTGTTGACCATTTTGTAAATATTTGTGCATTAGATAAATAGATAGCTTGTTTATAAATGAATATTTTATGTCATATTGTTTGGTTCAGCTTAGGAATAATACCAGAGGCTGTGCTTTAACTGGTTCAGTCACCTGATCCTCAGCTTATTTTCCTATTGTATGCTTTTCTTATGCCTTTTTTTGTGTTGCTGTCTCTATTATGGAAAAATAAAGGTTACTATTATAATAATTATTATTAAATACAAACCTTGTTGTGTTTTAACATGAACTGGCGAACTAAGAGGACCATGTCCTACAGATGTGTATGCTTGAACTTTTATTGTGTAGATTGTGTGAGGAATAAGCTCACTAATTGTTGTTAACTGATTGTTATCCACCATTTGTGATTCCCACTGTGTTATTGGTAATTCAGAATTTGTTGTGTAATACACTTTGTAACCCTAAAAAATAATGTTTCATTTAATTGTAATTGTTAAAATGTTGCTATTGGTCCAAGAAGTATTTGGAAAATATTATAAATAAACAATTTCAGATTGTAACCATATTGCATATAAATAAATTACAAATTAAATTAAAAAAATATCCAAGTGTTTTTTATTTTTCGTTTTAGTGTGATTATATAGTGTCATAATGTAAGTAAAGATGTAAAACAAATCAACCAAAGCCTCCTCAGACCAAACCAAAAAATTTTTAAATGGGAATTGATAGTTGAGACTCCAACGGGTATGTATAAAAATTGGGAGCTCAAAATAATCATTAGTTTTACCGTGAGAGAGAATTGAAAAATAAGTATAGTTCTGTATTTTCTTAATTAATAATTCAATTGTGCGAAATCTTCCCAGCCGATTTTGATTAAACAATTTCTGCAATACTACCATATCACTCAGAACCATATTTTTTATATGGCTGCTCTAAACTCCGAAATAAATTCATGGAAAAAATCTTTTTTCACGAATTTTTTTTCGGCCTATACTGTATTGCAGCAACAATAATGCACACAAATATTTCGGAATACTTTTATTTGAAAGAGAATCTCAAAACGAAACTTTTTTTCCTTTGACTATTTTCTCTAATGTCAATATTCTCCGAGTTGTAAATGAAAGAAGGGAGAAAAAATGCGCCTTTTTTATTTTTTTTTACATTTCCTTGCGCTAACAATTATTTACAACTTTTTCAGTGGGTGCATATCACAATTAATATATAATATTTAGAACTATTCCTAGCAAAAATTAGCGTTACTATATAAAACATCCATCCCGTAACAGATACCGACTGGACTACTAGGATAGCACATCTGATCTGATATCTTCCCAATTTTAGGTAATCATGTAATATAAAAACGAAAATAGTATTTTGTGATGTTAGGAGAATAAGTGATACATACTTTATGTGCTAAAAGTGGAAAGTTTGTATGTAGTGAGTCAGACAATAGACAATCCATGCGAAGCACATAAAGTATCTTATTCTCCAAACATCATATAGGTACTATTTTTTATTTAAACATTATAAATTCTATAAAAATATTAAAATAACTAAGAAAATAACGAATTTTAAACAAAGATTGTAACATTGAATCTTTAACTTGTTTCACTGTATATAACTTTACTTATCGTTACTATAGATACGTACTTGCATCTATCAAAACAAATATATAAAAACTGAAGAGTTCTAGTTTGTGGGCTCATTATTCAATGGTAAACTCTGTGTTAAGTTTGAAGCATAATGTGAACATCGAAAAATACAATTTGCGTGCATTTTTGAAAAAAAAACAAGGAGAAGGTCAAAAACAAGTCAAAGAGATCGAGAGCCTTCTTAAGGGAATAGTTCCATAGATTTTTGTTTGATACTTCAGATGAAAAGTATCTGACAATAAAAGTAACAAAATTACATTTTGTATATCTGGGGTAAGTAGTTGCGACGAACTAGTGAAGATGACAATTTATTGATGATATTGAAGACATTTAATGATATCGCAAGAAGTGGAGGATTCTTAAATGATGCAAACTACTGCAATGAATTAATATATAAATATTAATAATTGGTATATGGAGATTTTCTGAATTTTAAAGTTCAAGTGATATTGACTATAAAAAATTTTAAGTATTTTCTTTAGTTTTTTGTAAATTTCATATTTTTTTTAAACACATTTCGCGTATTATTTTGCATTGTGCCGATACAAAGTTAGTGATTGTTAAGGTCTTCTTAATTATTATACAAATACGCACAACTTTTTTCTGTATAATTACCAATATAAAGTAAAATTTTGTTAGTGCAGTAAAAATTAGGTACTTACCAGCACTTGACCATTGGGTGTTTCTGGTTCATCCCAATTTATTACCATAGTACTGGAGCTGAGAGGACGTACTTGAACATTTCTTGGGGCAGTTCCTGGTTCTAATACAAATAAAAGCAGTCTATGATATATAATTATATGTAATTAGTGAAGAAATTGTCAAAACTCGCTATATTTGTGGCATCTTATTATATAACGTATCCTAAATTATAAAAGTTAAGCTTGATAGAACTAAAAATAAAAAAATGCTTAATTTCTGAGGTATAGGGATTTCAAGTTGGAATTTCCAAATATTTAATTTTTATGTATTCAAAATGCTTAAAGATATTGTAGGCCAATCAATAATATAGTATTAAATCAGTGATTTTATGACAAAAATATTAGTAGCAAACGGACTCTGTCATCATTTACGACAGTCTGTAGATAGATTTACAATTAATTAATTTTTTATAAACATTTTTATGCAAAAAAACTCATTTATCTTTTAGTTTTTTGCTTATACCTGAACCTAAACTAACGAAGCAATCTGAAAACTATAAAGAGACAATTTATAGAGCATTGAAATCCGATCGGATAATTAGAAACGAAGAAAACTTTCAGTGTGCACAAAGCAGGCGAAATTGCAATTTGAATTTTTTGTGCATTATTTTGCAAAATTTCTGGATGCGGTGGAGGTGGTCCAATTTTAATTTTTCAGTCAGATTTTAAAAGGAGAAGTATAATACTACAAGTATATTCTATTTTTCCGATAAAATGGTGCGAAATAGGTGAAAAATTCCTCTAAACATGCTCAAAAACGGCCGAGCGCGCGTATGCGGTCGAGTAGTGGGGGAAGATCGGGAGATGAGAGAGAGATATATTGGTATATAATTTTGAATATTGTTAGTAATACAGGGTATAACGAAATTAATGCAACAAAATTTGGTTACAGATTTTTAAGATAAATTTAGGGGACCCGTATTTTTAATATTTGCCAAGTGGCCCCCTCTTTCGGAGTTACAACCCTCCCGAAATCCGCCCCTAAGAATAATCTTTTTTTTATGTCTCACAACCCTGTTGCATGAGAATCACTAAATTTGGTACACAGGGGTTTTATGACATGTGGAATCTAATGGTGCTACGCTTGTCGGCGGGGAACCCCTTTAAGAAAATTTTTTGTGGGCCCTCTTGTCTTTCGAGCCAAAAAAATTTGGTTGTATATTTAAATTTCTTAAAAATTATTAGTCCGCTCGAAAGCCATTATAGGAATGTTTCACATATTTCGCATCATTTTATCGGAAAATTAGAATATACGTTTTGTAGTATTATACTTCTACTTTTAAAATCCGACTGAAAAATTAAAATCGAACCACCTGCAGCGCATCTAGAAATTTTTCAAAATAGTGTACCAAAAAATTGAAATTGCAATTGTGCCAAAACTAATGGTCCAACACCGCCTGTTTTGTACGCACCTAAAGTACATATAATTTACTACTTTTGTGCACGGGTGATCTCTACAACTTGAAAAATGGTGGAGTAATGAATTTTTAAAGACGCTAAATTTTTCAATTTTTCCGGGTTTTCTTCATTTCTAATTATTTTATTTATTCGTATTTCGATTCTCTACAAATTGTCTCTTTATAGCATTCAGATTACCTCGTTAGTTTAGGTTTTATAAGCAAAACAACTAAAAAATGCGTTTTTTGCATAAAAATGTTAATAAAAAATTAATGGTAAATTTGTATAGGAAACATATAAGCATAAATCTACAGACTGTCTTTTATATGATGGCACAGTCCGTTTGCTACTAGTATTTTTGTCAGAAACATAACCTCTATTGATTGGCCTATTGGAATGAATTTTATTTTGAATACCATGTAATAAAAAAACTAAGCATTTCTTGATCCATGTTTATGGGGAACTTTCTTTGAGGAATTCAATCGAATACAAAAAATTTATATTTGTAAAATAGTTAAAACAGTCTTATAAAATTTTAACATAATAAATAATGTATTATGTTATTAAATTTTGGAAATTCGTTTTTTGGTTCATTTCAGCCTTGTTTGAGGTGATATTGAAAAAAGAAGAACACTTTCTCATGGCAACTTTTTGCCCTCTATCGAATGGCATAATCAATTTTTATATGTAACGTTTTGTCTCTCCAGGACCATCATCAACTTCACTTTTTTAAATACGACCCTGGAAATTTTATTCCATTTCTTGCAAGCCTTCATGACCCCAATACTGTACTGCTTCAGCCCGAACCAGATTCAGACGTTTTATCCCAAAAAATTCAGCCTTTACTTTTTAGAGGCATAATGTTGATCCTCTGATTATAGGTACAACCTTGCCCCCATTTAAGCTACTTCGTATCTCATGACTGATATTTCTCAGAAAATCTACTGTTTGGGTGAAAAATAACCCAATTATGTCAAAACTGATTTTTTCCTAGATCCTGTCCAAATACACACAGGGTGGTTCACAAACGGTGACCAAAAATAAAATTAAGTTTTTCGGATAAAGTTTTTATCTAGGATGCTTTGTTAAAAGATACAGGGTGTTAAACTTAAAAAAATAAATAATTTGAAATTCAGCACATGTATTTATGTAAACATTGTCCAAAATCTGAAGTCTTTTTCTAAAATTTAGATGCTTTAATGGCGGAGATACAGGATATCGGTGACATATTTTTCTAAATAAAATAGTGCGCCACTGCTTTATGTTACCGTAAAGCATGATATTTTCGGATTCATCTTTAAATTTTCTACAAATTACTACTCTATGTTTTCAAAAATAGTCCGATTTTCGAGTAAAACTTAAAAAGGATTCATTAGAAAAACGCGGCCACTCATTTAATATGGCGGAAAAAAGGTTTTCAATAGAAAAGATTTTGCAACTTAAACCAGAATTAAAAAATCAGAATATCAAAATCATGAATGATTATGAGCTTTTACGTCACATGACGAAAGTTGACGATAATAATAAAGCATAGTTACTACCTACCTCATCAAAGCGCACTGCGCGAATATAGTGTAAGTACTAAGCTGCGCGTAGTGTTTGACGCGTCACCAGTACTTCCGACATTTTCTAAATGATTTACAAACGGTTGGTCTAACCCAAGGATATAAAATCCTTGGGTCTAACCATTCAGGAGGACCTTCTATCAATTCTATTGCGTTTTAGAAAACACTCGTTTGTCATTTCCGCGGACGTTGCAAAAATGTATCGCCAGGTTTTGATAAATCGGAAACAAACACCATTGCAACGAGTATTGTGGCGGAAGAATTATGATAAAATACCTATGAATTTAAGACCGTGACATATTATGGCACAGCCGCTGCTTCTTATTTAGCGAAATATGTAAAAAATGACAGTCAGTTTACAAGTATGGTAAACTTTGGTACTAACGAAAAACAAAAACATTGGGACTTTTATGGAACTGTAAATCCGATAATTAACCTATGCAATAAACAAAATTTCAAGTAATAAAAACGCAACGAAGCGTACAATATTATCAAATATTGTGCAGATTTTTTACCCATTGGGCCTTTTAAGTCCATGTACCATAACTGCTAAGATCGTGCTACAAAAACTGTGGCCGCAGAAAATTGATTGGAATGAAGCTTTGTCAGAGCAATTAAATACCGCTTGGGCGAAATTCCATTAACTATTACATGCAATTTAGTAAAGTTAAAATAAATCGACACGTCGTATGTGAAAATTACGTACTTAAATATTCAACTTCATTGTTTTTTCAGATGCATCCGAAAAGGCAATGGCGGAGCGATTTTTATCCGATCCATAAATACAAACGGAGATATGCGCTAAAACACGATTGGCTCCGTTTAAACAATCACACTACCACGGCTAAAATAATTATGTGGAGCTGTTATTTTGGTCAGATTGGTTAAAAAAAGTTCCAGCATCTTGGGATATAAAATTTGATAAGTACGTTTTCTGGACAGAGTCCACAATAGACTGGTTAAAATTAACACCTAGTTCTTTAAAGCCATTTGTCGAGTCGGGTTGCGGTTATACAAGAATTTACTAGTACATATGATTAGCGACACGTGCCTAGCAAACAAAATCTTGCGGATATTTTGTCCAGGGGAATTAATCCAAACTGCTTAATAGACTTAGAACTATGGTGATATGAGCCTAAATGGCTTTCTCAAAACGAATCCAATTAGCCTAATCTAAGATCAAGCAGAGATGAAGTAACTACGAAATTAAAACAAGTCCTTATATTAACGCAAAGTTTTAACGATTTTCCGTTGACTAATTTCTGTCTAATTTAAATAGGCTCAAACGGGTTACAGCGATTTTGCGTAGATTTAAAAACAATTGCTTAAAGTCACGAGATCAACGTAAGGGCCTCTTTCACTAAAAGAAACAGATAATTCGTTGAAATTTTTAATTAAAATTAAATTGCACAGAAACAATCATTTGCTTAGGAATATGAAAATTTGCTTCAAGGCAAAGATATTAATGTTAAAAGTTGAGCTTTGAGTTTATCCCTTTTTAGATTCTGAAGACATTACGAGTGGGGAAGGACGTTTACAAAATTCAAACTTTGCCTATAACAAAAAACATATTTTTTTTGTTCCATGCATCCCATGACCAAGTTACTTATGATTACTGAACACATCCGACTATTACATGCAGGACCCTCATTAACTTTATATTCATTATGGGAAAGGTTTTGGCCTATTATGAGGTGTAATTTAGCAAAAAAGGTGGTTCACGAATGTTGCTTCTTCAGACAAAGTTCAAACAGTCAAACCTATTATGGGGTAATTATCCGAACCTAGATCAACACCGGGATGTGACTGGGGTAGATTACACTGATCCATTTTTTATTAGAAATAGTAAGAGTCGTGGTGCCAGCTATGTATGTTGTGAAATGACGAACAGCAATGGTGGGAATAAGCGAGTTCGAAGCGCACATGCGTTTGGTAGACAGTTAAGATACATGATATTTTAAAGTAATATTGATTTCTCTATACTTTGTACTAAAATTTCAGTGTATCTGTATGTTAACATCATTCACACTTATTATTCATAAAATACATCAAATTTATAGTCCACTCAAATACACAAAAGTCAATACATCAGCGCCGCT